GTTCTCTGAAGTGCATAGCCATCTACCAAGATAGTTTTAATCACATCATACTTCCTTCAGCTTTATAAAGATGCTGATTTTAACTAGTGTAAACCATAAAGAAAATTACTTATTGTTGTGCAAGATTTTGATTTAAGAAGTAATTAAACCTGATAACATTATGATATGAGAGCTTATACTACAATCTGTCGTATATGCATATCAGGGGTCGGATTTATGAAGCTTATCTTTTCACAAAATGAAGCTTGAAACTTGCACACAAAGTTGCTAAAGAACCTTGCCATTAAATGTGCCGTCCCTCATGCCAACTCTGATCCATGCATATAAACATTTTGGAGGAAAATGGGTAAGGGTGAGGGGAACGATTGAAGCCAGATTTATTCCTCTCAGATGTTCAGTGTCTTTTTATATAAAACATTAATCATAGATCCACTTCATAAGCATCTCATATTGCAGTGTAATTCTAACTGGCACTTGTGAACCATAAATATACATAAGGACCCATCAGATAAATAAAAAGGCCTATGAGCAGCTCAAATCCTTAACCAAAGCGCCCACAATATTTAAATTTCTTTTTAACCTCCCTCTCCTTGATCAACAGGGTGAGTTGTACTGCAGATCAATACATAAATTTAACAAGTTACAAGGAATTCATAATGATTTCTGTAAACTTTTTATTACTGCTGTATCACCCACACAGAATATTGTGCAATGGCTGCTGCTCTGTTGATGGAAATGGATGGAAAAATAGGAGGGAATGTCCCCTTAGGGATTATAAACGTTTCCTAATGCACGATACTGACTGGATTGTCAATCCCTTCCCTCGGGAGTCTGAGGGATGGGTAACTCCAGTCTTTAAGGGCTGGTATCCTGAAACCTTTAGATATGTCCCTGTTCCAACACACCTGGGAAAAAAATGAATATTTCCTGGAGTCTGAGAACCTGAATACTGAAAATATAACTTTCAAGGACTGGAGTTACACATGTCAGCCGTAGAGCAGTGCTTTTGGATCTATGTGCTAAATTGTGTTCACTATTGTATTGTTTTTTGTTTTCTCCCCTGTGGTTGCCAATGGTAACCATGAAATAACATTGATCAGCTGACTAATGTGCACAGCTGGGAATTTATTAAGATTTTGTTTTGATAAATCTTAATATAAGTACTCCTAGAAAAGTATTCCAGGAATCTCCAAACTTGCATTCAATGGATATATATCTGCTTTGGGTATGATTAGCTTTGATGACATTTTTCTGATTCCCTTTTACCGTATGTCTTTTACAATTGACCTAAAACATTGATTGAACTCTTATAACTAGTTCACAGGACGGGCCATTCAACAAACATTCTACATGGTTTGAATGGATCATGTGAAATGTTGTATATTCAGTTCTATGCCCGATTGTTCTCTATGTTTGCAAAAAAATATTTATATCACAACAATTATCAGTGTGTTTTGTTTTGCACTAGTTCAGTTCCAATGAGCCTAGGCTGTGGTTAGTACATACACTGAATTGGGCAATTCATTTATCTGTCTTTCCATCCATAACAGTTCTTAAGCCTTTTTTAGAGAGCCACTTTAGATCAAACACTAATCTGCATTCTCAAATCTGTCAATCAAGCTTGATTGTACTTCCCTGATTATTTTTTCCACCTTTGTCTTGACTTTTTATTGATCAGACTGCTGTCCTGATTGATAAAACATTTTCTAAAATAATCAGCTTAACTCTACAATGAGCTTTAAATGAACATATATTTCCTGCAGCCCTTAAAATCTCATCTGGGTGCTAATCATGATGCACCTGCCACCTTTTATGGTGTTTGGGTTGTTTCTCTTGTTTTTTTTTTTTTGTGGTTTTTTTTATTTATTTATTTAACGTAACTGAGATATCTAATTTGAAAACCCATATCTGGGCAATGCCATCTGGCAGTAATTGTATAGATAGGTATAAAAAAAAGCTTTGGAGCCTCTGGTTTAGCTACAGAAAGTATCCTACAGCAACAAAGAGATGAAATATGCTCACTGTTCCTTCATTAGGAGTCTGGTCCACCATTGTTTTTTTTTTTTTTTTTTTCTTTTTTGTGTTTTTAAACCACCTGTGAAGTACAGCTACATCTGCTTCTGTGGAGTGAAGTTTGTGTTGGAAACCTCTGCGAGAACTGATCCAGTCCGCAGAGATTCTCCACAGACCTCTCTCTGAGCTGCAGGGTAAAGTTTGATGCTGCCTTGTTAATTTTTCCCTCATTAATCAAAATGTGTGTCCTTTAAATTGCACCGATTAGATCTAAGTGAAAAGTGCTGACGGGGGTTCTCACTCAGGCCGGATTACCTTCCCACGCATTTTCAATCTGTATTAAGGCTGCATGAGGCATTTATAAATGTTTTTTATAAAGTGGGTTGCAGAAAATTCCTTTCATTTAGCAGCTCTAACTGTATAATTATGTGCAGATCATTATCCTTATCACACTTTAAAGCAATGACAGTGGAAGCTGATCACCAGTCTGTTTCACTTGATAGCTTTTATTTCTGCTGGCTTTTCTTTAGTCCAAGAAATGTCCAATTGTTGAGCAGGACTGCAAATAAGCAGCAACCAAAAGGGTCCACATAGAAGTTATATTCCTTACCTAAAACCATTTTCCTCTTGGAGCTGGAAAGAATTATTTTGAGCAGGGGTGGTAGCAAATGCTAAGAGTCATCAAGAAAGATGGCCGAGCAAAAGTTTTGGCTCCAGAGAGGGCAGTTTAGCACGTTTTGGCTCCAGGGAGGGCCCTTTAGCATGCAATTTTCAACAACTGGGCACAATGGGGGGACCCCTCCCTATGTACGTCACTGGCTGTGAGAATGAGGTTTTGAAAGAAACGAATGAGGGAAGAAGGGAGCGGGAGATCGACAGGCGGATTGGTGCAGCGTCTGCCGTGAAGCGGGCGCTGTACCGGTCCGTCGTGGTGAAGAGAGAGCTGAGTCAAAAAGCGAAGCTCTCGATTTACCGGTCGGTCTACGTTCCTACCCTCATCTATGGTCATGAACTCTGGGTCATGACCGAAAGAACGAGATCGCGGATACAAGCGGCTGAAATGGGTTTCCTCCGTAGGGTGGCTGGGCTCTCCCTTAGAGATAGGGTGAGAAGCTCGGTCATCCGGGAGGGACTCGGAGTAGAGCCGCTGCTCCTCCACATCACTTCTTGTGGCAGATTATGCAAATTAGGCGATGAAGTCATTTAGCAACTTCTAGCGACTTTTAGCACAGCCAATAGCTACTTTCCTTACTAAGGAGTTGGCAACACTGGTACTGCAACATGGCGGCACCCTTACAAAAAAGATTAAAAAACAAAGCATTGGGTATTTTTTTTACATTTATATTTTACACATTTCTAATATAATTATGCATAATAGTAAGACACAATCTCGTGAATACAGTAAGTGTGGTTTACCGTTTCATTCCCTCGTAAACTTACTCAGAGAAATTGCTTATGCAGTTTGGCTTTAGTCTAAAACTTTTTAAAGGGAAGAATAAAACCACCAGAGCATAAGAAGTTTAATAACACACAATCCTGTTAGAACTTTAATTTCGACCACTGGATTAGAAGATGAGAAGTCTATTGGAGCAATACATGACAGTAAACCAGGAAACAGTAAACCAGGATTATTCAGGAAGATAAAATAAGAGGAGCTCCTGCATAAAGAAACCTTCTAAGCACAGTGACAACATAAAAACATGCAACATACATTTAAAAAATAAAATACCAGCATTTAAACTTTTATCATTTTTAAAAAGACAGTTATCATTTAATTTTATCCAATTCTTGGTAGCAGTCAGTCATTTGCTGCATCCTCTTCTTCCTGTAGCAGATTAATTAGGAAGTCTATAATTGTGTTGCCCATGTATCAGATTAGGACAATCTGTGGATCTACAGTGTTTCTGTACTCTACAAAAAAAAAAAACACTTGAACACAATGCAATGGTTATTTCCAGTTTACAAGTGGAAACGATCATCTTTACCAAACCACAGGAATGCAACAGACGTCTCAATTGAACTAACAACAAGATGGGCTGATGGATATGGAGGGAAGGGAAGGAATAATCAGAAATTTTTTCGCAGTGCTTCCCTGTAGAGAGGAAATGAGTAAGACTACGTAGGTTTACCAAACTGGCTGTGTTTCCTATTTGGCTGCCCACTAGATGGTTAATCATTGCAGGATTGTTAGATATCTCAGTTGGACTTTGGTGATTCATGTTTAATTCAAGGAAATCTGTTGATGTTGGTTTTCACTCAAACACACACAGAAGATCTTTTAATCATTTATATTCCCCTATCTCCTGTCAGGACTGTCCGCTACTGTATCCCTGGGACTATGTTTGGGTGTGTGTCTTTGTGTGTGTATGGGGGGGCTACTGGTTATCACACACACACACACCTCCCATTACAGATGTTTCATTAAATTAAACCCATGGCACTTTCAAAAGGCTCAGCAGTAAAATCCGGCAAAGCAGAAGCTTGTTGCTGCCTCTAACTGCACTCAGGCGGTATAAATATGTTGGATTTATTTTATTAGAGGAAGAGCTATTCAGACCATCTATTCCTTTTCATTTCAATAAAAACTCTTACATGCACAGAAAAAAGCTTTATCTTCAAGTAGGAAAATCAGCTGTGTTTAGTTTGGGTTGAAATCTAAAGCATCTTCTCTTCCAGCTGGCAGATCAGCGTTTTTATGGTTTTCTTTACACCAAACACCTTTTTACTGATTCACATTTATTTTTAGGGTTGTATTCAGGGGCGGATCTATAGGGGTGGCTACGGGAGCAATTGACTCCCCCGAAATCTGATTGGCTACCCCAACTGCCACCCCAGCTGATTGACGGCACCGCTAAAACAGTTGCACGTCTGAAGTCTTTGACTGCGATGTTCTTCCTGTACAGTAGATGGCGCAATGCAGCATGTGCTATGCAGCCCCTTTCCAGTCGTGAATCTAGGGTGAAAGAAGAAGAACTAAAGCGGCTGTGGAGCCACCGAGCGCAGCAAGCATAACATTAGTTAACAAACAACATTCTTTGGGAAAAGGCTGTGCGCTCTCGAGATGGATTTTATTCTCGTTTGGACCGACTGACTTATATCGGTGAGTAGGTTGCACAACCACAGATTCATAAAAGAAGCTCAATAACTAAGAGTTTGATAAGTTCAGTCAATGAGGATCATCCTCTGTTCAATTGATGTCCGTTTCATAAATCAGAATGTTAAGGACAAGCCCTTGCTTTTCACGAAGGGCCGCTAGAAGCTAGTCTGGCTGTAAACAGACAGGTGCAGGTGGGTGATATTGATGGGTTTCAGTGTCAATTTCTGTGATTTCATGCCCACATCTGCTAAAAATACTGCTGACGAGAACAGAAACTATTTAATTTTTTTTAATGTCCGTGTCTAGAACCTTCTGAATTATGAAACCAGCAATATCTTTGATCAGAACCGTTTGCCCATGTCATGAAGGGCATTACTAGTCGTAGATAATTCACGACCGATGTAGTTAGCCAGTAAAGTTATGGCAGGCTGAAACCTTAATTGAATGGATAGATTGCAGTCACTAGACATGTATTATTGTTGTGTTCTGATATTTCTAGGCTGTAAAAATGTAGTCTATATTCATTAATTTCCTTGTGCATCATTTTGGACACGAAATGTTGCATTTTGCTTTGATAAGTAACAAAACGTTTTTTTCCCGGTTGACAATGAAAAGACAGGGAGGCACGATTTATATCTACTTTAAGAGAAACAGATCAGGCTTAGAGCAGATCAGCAGCCCCGGCAGCCCTCATCCTGGGACTAGTCAGGAAAGTCCGGCAGAATCCAGCCTGTCATCATCGCCAGGTTTGAACATACAGAAGCAGTCACATGTTCAGTTATTTTAAATTATATTTAACATTATTTCAGATGTTCAGTTCAGTCATTTAAGTTATGTTAAACATTATTATGAATGTTGGTTATTGTTGTATGTTCAGTTTTAGACAATGGTTGTTGATTTTGATCATACTATTAAATAAATATTTTTCTACTATGTAGGTGTGAGAGTGGACCAAGACGATGACAGGTCCCAACCTGGAACCATTACCGAGGAGTGTCAGGCACAACACAGCCCACCATCATCAGGTCAGAGCAAGTCAGAAATGCCAAGTTCAGTCAGTACATTAACATTATTTATTTATATTATTTTCATTGTTATTATTGTTTCACAATATAGTTCCTTCTGAGGAAGGCTCTGAGGCTTCTGAGCAGGACGACGACCCAGACCCAGAGCAACCAGAGCCTGAAGATGTGCTTCCCTGATTGTAGTAGGGAAAACAATTTGTATGCTGGGTGAGTGGGATCTTTGATCTGTGTTTCTGTTATCAGAGAGTTGAAGAATGTACCATATTCATTTTGTGCATAAATAAACTACAAATTGTACTCAAAATTGCAACTTTTGTCTGCTTAGTATGTGGCTACTTAAATATGATTGCAAATTACTGCTTACAAGGTTTATATAAGAAAGGTCAATAAGCCTTAATTAACTTGTAAATTATGCACCAAAGATAACCACAGACTAGTTGGCTTTCATCTGTAGCCCCTGGAAGTTTGATGTTGAAAGAAGTGTGTGTGTGTGGGTGTGTGTGTGTGTGTGTGTGTGTGTGTGTGTGTGTGTGTACATATAGAGTATAACACAAGAATGATAAGTCATTACTCATGACATGTCAAAGAAGAACATAAGACAGGACCAACATCTGTAAGTCCATGTAGAAATAAATGATAGTGAATAATAATTTAAACGTGACATGAACAGGTATACAGCACTCGATTGCTTACAGACGGTTGGTGTTTTCTGCTGCGACATTAACGCTAGTGCATAAACTTTGCTATTTTTAAGTATAAACCATTGCCCCCCTAAAATACACTCGGCCACCCCCTTGCTACCCCAAGGATAAAAGTCTAGATCCGCCACTGGTTGTATTGTCGACTTTTGTGTCATTGAAAGACAGTTAATATTCTTGGCTAAATGGCCTAAAGTTTTTATTCCTGCCTTTCTGAGGTAAAAGACATTTTGCATATGTTTCCTCTGTCTTCTTCCTACTGCATGTCGGGTTCTCACATCCTGAAAGACACCAGGCACATTTTGCCTATGCAATCACATTAATCAGAATATCATGTTCTCGACACTGATGCTGGTCTGATCCCTCGTTCTACACACCTGTCAAGCTCCCCCCGTTTCTCGTTAACTTTCATCAGATCCGGCTGCACCAGCGGTTATATAACCCTCAGATCAGACTTCGCTGCCAGATTAGTCGAGCATATTTGGTTTTTCCAGTTTGCTTATTTTGTCTGCCCGCCTGTTTATGACCTGTTTCTCTTCCGGATTCTCTGAGAATGCCTAACCCCTATCAGACCTGTTTGCTTGGATTACCTGGATCTCTGACCTGTTTCTCTGCATTTGGCCTTTGTTTCCCTGGATATCTGCTTGTCCCATGAGCTTTATTCCTGATTGTGTCCCAATCAGACTTCAGATCAAGGATATTATAACCAGAGACTTAACCCATCAACAGGAGCTTCGGCCTACCTTACAAGTCGATTCCCAGATTGTGAGAAGGTTAGTGACCTGTGTTATGGTAAATGGCATGTACTTATATACGGTAGCGCCTTTATTCAAGTCAGGAGACTTGACCAAAGCGCTTTCACCCATTCACGCACACACTCACACACTGATGGTGGCAAGCTACATTGTAGCCACAGCTGCCCTGGGGCTCACTGACAGAAGCGGGACACTGGCGCCACCGGGCCCTCTGACCACCATCAGTAGACAATGCAGGTGAAGTGTCTTGCCCAAGGACACAACGACACTGAAAGTCGGAGTCGGGGCTTGAACCGTCAATCATTCGATTTCAGGGCAAACTCCTACATCCAACGCCACTGTCACCCCTACCTTATCTTATTGAACTGTTGACTAGTCTCTGCCTAGTTACCGTCCATCCTTCTCCACTCCCAGAGGTTCCTGTCTCCGACGCTGGTGATTCTTCCCCGAAACTACCTCAGCCCACCTCAAATAAACTGTTTAACCTTCTTGTCTTGCTGTCTTTGCGTCCTCTGGTTCAATTCATAAAACTTTATTATTCCCAAAAGTACAAGAAACTGATCATATCCTAGGTTTAATTTTCTTTTATTTCATTAGAAAAAATTATTGATAAAAAAAATGAAATAAAGGTCTATTTTAACCCAAATAGTTCAAACTCAGAGGACAATTTAAATATTTGGAGGCAAGAGAAAAGCCTTAGCAGTCTGTCTGCTCTCCATGAGCTATTTGACTGCACCGGTCTGTCGTGGTTAAGGGAGAGCTGAGCGAAAAGGCAAAGCTCTCAATTTACTGTTCGGTCTACGTTCCTACCCTCACCTATGGTCATGAAATCTGGATCATGACCGAAAGAACGAGATCCCGGATACAAGCGGCTGAAATGAGCTTTCTCCGCAGGGTAGCTGGGCTCTCCCATAGAGATAGGGTGAGGAGCTCGGTCATTCGGGAGAGGCTCAGTGTAGAGCTGGTTCTCCTCCACATCGAGAGGAGTCAGTTGAGTTGGCTCGGACATCTTCTTTAGATGCCCCCTGGACGCCTCCCTCGGGAGGTGTTCCAGGCACGTCCCACTGGGAGGAGGCCCAGGGGACGACTCAGGACACGCTGGAGAGACTATGTCTCTCGGCTGGCCTGGGAGCGCCTAGGGCTTCCCCCAACAGAGCTGGAGGAGGTGTCAGCGGAGAGGGAAGTCTGGGAGTCTCTGCTTACAGTAGTCTGCTGCCCCCGCGACGAGTACGAGTACGAGCATTTAAAAATCACATTTACTGTTTTTTTTCCCATCGAGATAATAAAAAAAGTAGTAACCAACAAATTTGTTTCTTTCCCTTCCAGAGCTTTAAAAAAACTCCAAACAGATCAAAGATTAGTGCTGTCTGTTAACATTTTGTTCATATTTCACAAAAATCAGACTTGGAAATAACTTAGTACGACTGTTTCATACACAAAAATTTGGCACGGACAGAAGAGATGGTAGCTGGTCTCTGGATTCTTCTACATTTCCCAACAGGTGGTTTGGTCCTTTGATCAATCTACCAAGGTGGTATCTCTGTGCTGTACATAATCTGTAAACATTTAGTCTGATTCCAGTCTGTCTACAGGTTTTTTTTTCTCATTCTTAACCTTCCTTGGTCTTCACCCTTGGAGCTGTTTATGCTTTCAGCTGTTACATGGGGGGCATTTTTGTTTTATTTTACTGTCTGTCTGAGAAATTTGGCTTGGCTTATAGATTTTTTTATTTTATGTCAGCATATTATATGTCCTGTCCTGAGCTATCACTATAGTTATGCTGCTATAGGTTTAGACTTCCTGAAGACATAGGGACCACCATTTCATCATTCTGCTTCATTCTATCTCTTTTCTCCCAATCTGCATAATCTGTTAGTTCAATCTCTAACTTTATGCTCTCTCTGCTTTTTCTCAGAGTAGCTTTGCCTCGTCTGTTCCTGTTTGGCTGTGACACCATCCTGGAGAGAAATATCAGCTGTGCTTCTTCCATCAACACCCTTGTTTATAGATGCTGTAGATCGGCCTATTTTTCAGTGTAGTCCTGTTTCTCTGACAGTGACTGGCTGGATGTGCCCTCTTCATCCTCTGACATGGGAGCTGGCTCGGTGCTCGTCTGCCTGGCTGTGTGTTTCCTGGACGGGGCCGCCTTTTACAGCTGCTTTTTGTATCTCTGCTTCTGTCTCCTTGAACCCCAGTCAGCCTCGGCAGATGGCCGATCACACTGAGCCTGGTTCTGCTGGAGGTTTCTTCCTGTTAAAAGGGAGTTTTTCCTCTCCACTGTCGCTACAAGTGTGAGGGATTGCATTTTAGTCAATGAGTCAATGCAATCAACTGGTTTTCCTTAGATAGAAAACTTTGAATTAATTTGACTGTATGATCTGGTTGAACTGTAAAGTGCCTTGAGATGACTTGTGTTGTGAATTGGTGCTATATAAATAACCTGAATTGAATTATATTGAATTATATGTGTATTCTGCAGCAGTGTCTCAAAAACAAAAAAAACTCTCATCATGGTTAAAAGAATTAATAATGTGTATAGATAAATAAATAAATACCTAATTATTCACTGTCATGTTTTTTTCCTGTGCAATGGGCCAAATGGCTGCTGAAAATCTTGTTACTCTTGATATTCTAATTAAAGCTAAAAAATGTAGTTACAAACAGAATAGTAATACAAGGATCAATGGTCTGTTGAACGATCTTGTGTTGTAAATTACTTTTCTTTTCATGTTTTTATTTATTTATTGCGTCAGCCTCTAAAGCAAATGCTTTTTCAGCAGAGAAACAAAGTCTTGCCTCTCTAATTAGAAACTAACCAGGAAAGAGAATGTAAGGATAATCTAAGTCTTTGGAATATGTCATCATGTTCTATGTACAGACATAGGACCGGTAGAAATTCCTCGTCAGACCAGAAACTAGAGATGCACTGATCCACTTTTTGCTGATCCGCTAAAACATTGTTAAAAAAAGGTAACAAATTAACATAGATATGCATGTACTTCAGGGGCGTGCACACATAGACACTAGGTGGTGCTAAAGCACTAGGAAGTTTGCCCTCTATCAAAGAAAATGCCCTTTTGAAACTCGTTTTTTTTTTTATTATTATTATTAATATTATTAAGATTTTACTGAGGTCGGTTTTGAAATGATCTTTTGAAAACCTGAGCCATTAAAAACGACTGAAACAATGCCCCGAAATGACCTACTTGCGCAGACCCGACCAGCCTCTCTCTCTTCCTTTGTCACGTGAACTCGCTCGGTCGCCCGCAGGGCATGTCAGACACGCAGCATCATAGCAGTTCAGTAAGCGTCTTCAGATAGCAGGAACGGTCGCTGACAGGCTGCTTCTCCCGTGCCCCATTAGCCAGGTAATATACAGATCAAGCAGAATCATTTTGTTGTGCATTAAAATGTCTCATTCAGCAGCACCAAACACGCATTTTGCCGACTGCTCACCTGATAAACTAGTTGTCTCCTTGTAAGATGCTATTTTACTTTTTATATTTTGTATCCATATTTTTTATCTTAAGTGTATACATTAGTCTATTTTATTGCATGCCGTATACCCACAGTTTTTAGATATTTTTATAATTTTATTTACCTATTCCATATTATATGTTTCATGTTGCACGATTATACCACAAAAAATTCCTAGTTTGTGAACTCCTTCACTAACAATGGCAATAAACCTGATTCTGATTCTGAAAGTTTTACACTGTAGCCCAAGTCAATGACAGATA